AGAAATAATAGATTAATACCTTAAATTAGCGTGGTAAAAATGGAAAAATCCCATTCAACAATGATGCATTCAACCACTGTTCTAGTGATAATGACTTCAGTGATTGCAATCAAATTAAATGAAGTCCAAATCCACATACATCTATTTATATATCTAGACATAATAGCAGTTAGATAATAGATAGATGATAATTTTTTTTCACAAAAAGAACTAATGCAATGGTGTGGAATTGGTGATACCATGTGAGGCCATGATCAAGCTTCTTAAACAAAATTAATTAGAGAAAGTCTACCCCATTGTCTTGACAACAAAAACACTGGATCACAATTGTTTTATAATCTGAAGACTTCAAAAAGATTTATTTCAATATAATCTCCTTTCAATATCATATAGCACAATTGTATGTGTGTAATGTGTGTAAAATTTGAAATAATTGAGAAGAAAAACTAAAAGCATGTAAAAATGATAACAGGTTTTTATTTTTAGCTTACCCAGAAAAAAATTCAGGTGCTTTCAAAAAATGATGTTCTATTTGCAAACCGAGATAGTTTAGATTTCCTTGCCACCTTGGTAATTAAACTTAAACAAAATAATAGTATCAATGGTAATAACTGGCATAGGCTGTGTTTTATCATGTTGTGAGTAAAATGTTACATCAACCTTAACAAAAAATCAGAGTAAACATTGGTGCAAATTATTGATTTAAATACAGACTTTTTTGGGGTGCTTGTGCTAGCTAGTGACTTGTAAAATTTCATCTCCACAATAGATTAGTGCTAGGAGACAGTGGCTGGATTAAAGTCCCTCTTATTCTTAACTCTATCTATCTATCTATCTATCTATCTATCTATCTCTATCTATCTACCTATCTCTATCTATCTATCTATCTATCTATCTATCATCTATCTATCTGTATCTCTATCTATCTATCATCTATCTATCTATCTATCTATCTATTTATCTATATCTATATATCTCTATCTATCTACCTATCTCTATCTATTTATCTATCTATCATCTATCATCTATCTATCTCTATCTCTATCTATCTATCTATCTATTTATCTATATCTATATATCTCTATCTATCTATCTATCTCTNACTAATAAAAGTTCAAGTACAATATAGTTAAAAGAAATAGGTTATGCAGGATCATGCAATTCCAATTTATCCTTCCTTTTCCCAAATATCTATCTGAGGTTAATGTTTATGGTTATAGTTACTATTATAGTCAAATTATAGACTGCTTTGGTTACTAAAGAATTTAAAATGGCAAGGTAAGTATTTTACCAGGCAATCTTTCATCATGAGAGACATCAGTTCAGAAGTCCTAATTTCAGGCAAAAGGTTATATTAGATATCTCAGGATATTTTTGCGATCAATATAAAAACTAGATTGAATTACCTGCTACAATGTCTATTACCCTTTTTAAGCTGGCCAGTTTCTGGGAATGCTTTTTCCTGATAGATGTGGACATTTCATTGAGCAACATTCCTAGGATGACTCAGGATTCATTCATCTATTCAGGAATTTCAATCTACCCAGATTGTAGAGACCAGACAGCTGCTTGTCTAAAATAGTATAGGATCTCCTCTTGTACAGGTTGTTGGACTAGAAGACTCCAAAGTACCTTCCAATTTGGTTATTCTGTTAACTGTAGCAATGATCAGTAGGGACAGGTGATAGCTTATGAGAGAGTGCTTGCAACTATTAGTTCCCAAATTAAATTATAAAGAACTGTCCAGTGTGCCTATATTTATTTTATTTCCTCATTTAAAAAAATCACTATCAGAAAAGGAAAACAGAGAATGATTTTATTTTTGATCTTTCTCAGCAACCATAATAGTGACAACATATTTAAAATATAATTTCTTAGACATCAAAATTAACACTGTTTTATATACTTTTGCAAGTTAGTAAAGCAGTGCTTTGAGAAACTAAGGATCACATAAATATCCTATCACAGCTTTATACAACTTAATATAAATGCAAGATTTGAGAAAGTTGAAGAAAAACAATTGCAGGGATTTAAAATGGCATAATTTAGAAGTTTTTCCTTGCCAGGAAAAGTGACCTTTGTGCTTTTTATAGAGACATGCCACTGAATTGCTATTTATACAATTGTTGCTTATTTATAATATGAATATTGCCTGAATTTCAGATTATTCTGTACAACTAAAGTGTAGTAGTTGTGGATGAAATGGTTTGCTCCTACAAAACAGTGGAACGCTTTTTAAAAGTAAAACAGTTGCATATGACAAACTGCACTGTGTACCAGAATGGCAATTTTCATATCACCTTGTTAAACAAGCCTTTTTTCAAAATGTATTGTTTATTTTACATTTACGTCCAGTTGCAGAGCCTGTATGGTCTCTCCAATTTACACTCATTTTCTTTTGCTGGGATTTTAATATCAAAGTTCATATTAACTAAACAATGTATTTTTGTCAATCTAATTATTGATAAAAAAATAAATCCACAAAGCTAATACTTAAAGTTAAGCTTCAAAAAATATATTTAAGCATTCCAAAGGCATATATTTGATTTTACGGAGAGCCCACTTTACTGTTTTATTAAGATTGGACTGAATTTGGTCCTTAGAGAAATGAGGTATACTGAAGAATAGATAGAATCTATCCTTGTTGTTTTTTTCTCTCATCACCACTCTCACTTTTTTAATTTATTTTTTAAATTTGTATGTAAATATACAGAGCAGACCTTCACAACAAGGATGCCATCAATTTGTAAATTTGCAAGTGACAGAAGCAGAAATTATATGGAGTAATTATACTAAATTAAGTAATAATATAATTAAAATGTAATTTCAGTAATAGTAAAGTAATTAAATTCATTTAATTTACATTTCAATTAAATCAAATGTATTGTTTGTCCTGCTCCTTCTCAATTTCTTGCCCTGCTCTACCTGTTTTTTGGAAAGGAATTGTATAGTCTCTGCACAAACATTGTGAAACGAAAGGTATTTGCAACAAAATACACATACAGCTAAATTAGGGATGCTCACCAGTCTCCTTAAAGCTGCTTTGCTCCAATAGCAATGTGACTAGTTTGCTTCAGATTGTTCTGTTTCAATCTGTTTTAAAACTTCTAGCACTTGTGAAAAGGCTCAAAAGATTTTTTTTATAACTGCTGTAGGAAAAGAGATGTTCCTTTTCTGACTGAAAAGAAAACTAATAGGCACTAAAGGCATGCTGCCAACCCCACGCTTTATACCTTTCCTCTGATTTAGAGTAATTGAATTTACTAAACCAAGATTTTCACAATGTACTCCATAGAATTCTATAGTTCTGTATAAAGCTGATAGACTTCCATAGAGTAAAGCTGATAGACGTCCATAGAGTTTAAGAAGCAAACCCCACCACCACCACATACTTGAAAACATACAATTTTTTATCAGTAGTTTTGTGTTTTGATCAAGAGTTCAGTACTTTTTTTAAATTAACAGTTCTGCAGCCTGGGAAAAAATTGAAAAATCATGTACTAGCCTAGGATGGTCTTAGTAGCATAGCAGTAAGAATTAATTCACCTTATTTACACTCATCTACTTTTAAGTCATGTTAGTTAAGGTAAAAATTATGAAAAAATGTAGAAATAAATGAGAAATTATCCCTTAAAAGTACAAATAAATCCACATTAGCTCTATTATAAGTCTCATTGAAGAAATTTTAAAAAGAAAGAATAAGAATAGCAATAAATTAGACAGTAGAAGTAACTAAAATCCTATATTTGAAAATTGGACGAATTAAATCAATATACTGAGAAGTTACTGAAATCAAATACACTTTGTTGTTCATCCTCAACACAAATAATTAGGAACTCAGAAACAGAGAGCAATAACCAGGAAAAAGAACAAAAAACATCTGACTTTTCAAATGAAGTGAATCTGAGAACAGTTATTTCATTTCTGAGTAATGAACTATAATACAGACAGAGATATGTTAAACTATCAAAATAATAATGTTTTGGAAGATATTCAGTGAATCATAATGACCGAAGAAGCAGTACATTAACCTTCTTTTCAAACGTTCATAGATATTTGAAAAGAAATATGATTGAGAAATGATAAGAGACAATAGAAAAATGGAGCAATAATTCCAGTCATATTAGACCTTTTAAGTAGGGTTGGCCAGAGACAAGCTAACATACCCTTTTCCAGCTGACTACTTATTGTTCCAGTTGAATTTATGACTTATATTTAAGCATGTGTTCAGAGCTTTGTGGAATTTGGTCCCACGAACTATGCTTTCCAGTTTTGAAATCCAGCCTGGCCCATGATAGCTGCCTTTAAAAATGTCTCAGGGCTCTAAGGATAGGTCTTTTAGGAATCCTAACTGGCAGGTGGAATCCTAACTGGCAGGTGAAAGACAACGATACACTCGGTAGAAATAATGTGTGGCCTTGACCCTTTGACTTCTTATTTGTAAGCCTATGTTAATTGAACTAACTAGATTTATAAAGCCATGTTGTTACTGATAGCCATGACAAAGAAGTAAACATCACAAATATATGTATATGTACACACATGGCCTGGAAAGTCAGAATTAATTCTATTTGCATAAGAAAAACAGAAATAAACAAGGCTATGCAATATTGGACAGATAATTAATCAGATGTTTTTGCAATTTTTCTTTACTAATGTTTCAAAACTAAACAAATGACAAAAATGAAAATGGGAAATATTTACATTTAAAAATGAATAGTCACAAAACACTACCTTCTTTTGGCATTGTACTACTATGTGTACATGTGTGATTATTCTTTTCTTAAAAGCACTGTAAGACTTTTTAAAAACTTTATTAATATATATCAAGTAGAATGTAATTTTTATATTTAAAAATCTCGAAGAACCCTCAACTATGTCATCAAGTTACAGCAATGTATTTCTTCGCTTAATTTCTCTTTACACAATATTTCCAGAACATCATTTTGTTTTAGGCTACGTTATTTAATAAGTTCATATTTGACAACATGCAGACTTACCCTGGCATTGGTCCATTTCCTGAAAGGCTGTAAACCTGACGAGGATTCAGAAGATACTGAAATTTCCTATAAATTCTATGGTTGAAGATAGAAAAATATTTGAATTTTATTGGCAACAAATTATGTTTTGGCAGTTTTACCACATAACAATATGTTGGATTAAACAAAGTCATACTGCATCCCACACTATGCTTACCAATGTTAATATTTCAGGATATATAGACGGATGAACACATTTATTCTGCATTATTTGTAAACATGGGCAAAATCAAGTAAATAAGAAATCAAACAAGAACTAGTTAAGAAAGACCTTAAATTCATTTCTACAGGATGTACTGAACTTCACACTGCTTTTCAAACATTTCAAAATCTATTTGCCATATATCAATAGCTTACCAAGGTGCAGAGCATTTTAAATCTTGGTCCTGTCTATGGCAAAGATAGCATACTTGCAGACCCTTGAGCCAACTTCACTTTTGTTATTGTTGCCTAAAATTTTGCTCAATCAAACATTTTGGAATTCTATCACTAAATGAACATTTCTCTATTTTTAAAAATCTAAGAGAAAAGTCCTAATTTAGGAATTCCATAATAACTTAAACAGAATTGAAAGACAGCTTGTAGTTCATAAATATTTATTTCAGTATAAAAGTTTATTGAATTTAGTGTAACACCTGTTGAAGTTCCCTTGGAAGTAGCAGAAAAGAATTAATATCATTGACTGTTTTGCAAGAATCACACTTTCATGTATAAGATAAAATATGCGGTCATGAATAACAAACATCAGTGTAATTTTTTTGAACTCTCACAATGGTTGGGCCAATCATCTGGAACATTTTTGTTTCGAAGGTTTCAAAATGAAGATGTGTGTGTGTAAGGCCTGCAGAAATTTAAGGCAGTCATAATATTACACAAAAAAGTCAACACCAAATGTTCTGAATTTTTCAGTTGGAGTGGAGTTTTAAAAGCAAAATATGCCTTAAGCTTTAGCAAATTCAAGATACCCTCTTTTTCCAAAATCCTAAATTGGTCCCATCCGTTCTTATGACAGTAGGACATCTTTGACTGCATGCCATAAACTTTTCAGAAGTAAAATGCTTTAAAAGGCACAATATGTGATAATAAGTGGGTGTTCAAGCATAACTGATGTTTTAGAATCTAAAGTATTACTTTAGATCTTTTGACCATGTTTATTTGTTCTTTAAAAAGGCCTCACCCAAATAAATCAAGCATTTGATTATCTGTTTCTTAAAGAATTCATGTGTACAGATAGTCTTCAACATATGACCACAATTGAGCCCAAATTTTCTGTTGCTAAGTGAGACAGTTGTTAAATGAATTTTTCCCCTTTTTATGTCCTTTCTTGCCATAGTTGAAAAGTGAATCAGTGCATTTGCTAAGTTAGTTGCATGGTTGTTAAGTGAATCTGGCTGTCCCATTGACTTTGTTTGTTGGAAGGTCGCAAAAGGTAATCAAATGACCCCAGGAGACTGGAACCATCATAAATATCAGTCAGTGAGCAAGCATCCAAATTTTGATTATATGACCATGGAGATGCTACACCGGTTTTAGTGTGAAAAAAAGTCGTAAGTCACTATTTTCAGTGCCATGGTAACTTCAAACAGTCACTAAATGAACTGTTGTAATTCAAGGACTACCTGTATAATATTTCAATATAAAAATATAAGGCTGGATCTCTTATATATTTTACATCCACCTACACATTTGCCAATGGCTGCTCATTGGTTAATGTTAATTAGATTTTTCAGAAATTAAATGCATCCATTATTCCTAATCTGAATGTGGTCCAGGAAAAGGGAACAGAAAGTCACATGAGTGACTTCCTTTTGAATGAACTGTAACTATCATGACTACCGGAGCAGACAACTGACATGAGCAATTGCTTGCAATTTTAGACCAAATCAACACATCACCTTAATACCTATGCTTTTCCCTTTTTCATTTGAATGAGAAAATGGTTGGTTGTTATTTTAAGCTATTACTTTTTTTTGCTTAATAAAGCCTTCCAGGGGGAAAGTTTTTGCAAGATAACTAGAAAGTTACAAGCTGGTCCGCATACATAATGTACTTTTATGTCTTGTGGACAATGGGATCAAAGAACCAGACAACTGAAAGCTAGAATTCGGCAAGAGATTTTAAATAAAAAAACACAGAATTATGGCAGACTAAATAAAGTAGAACAAAATAGTTAGGTAAAGTTAAAGTAGCAGTAGATAGCTAAGCACGTCCTCATGGGCCTTAGTTTAATTTTAAAAAGACTTTTTCAAAATCATGTTTCTGGTGAAAGATATGTTTTTTCCCTAACAATAATCTTCTAGGCAAGAAAAAAGAAAAAAAGGAAAGGAGGAAATGAAACTATGCCATTTTTCTTGTTGCTTACTTTACACACACACACACACTATGAATATGCAATAGACCTCCCAAGAAATAATTCTTGCGATCATGTGGTCCTGGACAAGGTGGGGGGGGGGGGAAGTCAAAGGAATACAGAGATCTGTTATTAGGAAAAAGAAAGAATAATAGTAAGAATATAAACTAAAGGGCTGATAGTTTACCTATCCTTTAGATAAACTATTTATTCTTCCTTTAAAAAGAAGACTGCAGAATCAATATTTCAAGTCATGGAAAGTATCATAAGTTTTTTTTTAAGGAAAGGTGGCCAAAATAGTGTTATAATTGGAATATTCAAAAGGAACAGAAGGTCCAGAGAAGTCACAAATCCAACAGCATTATCAATTCAGCTCCAATGATATTGAAACATAAACCCCAATAACCACAGTTAGTTATAATTAATAAATCCCATTAGTAATGGAACATCATCACTGTAGTCATAATATTTATTTTATAGGCTATATTTATTGTGGTCTATAAAATAAAACTGCTTCAATAAGCCAAGAGCTTACCAAGGATGGGGCAATTTCTCAATTTGAAACATATTCCAAACAAGAAAACAACAAGGTAAATAAATAAATGTAGAAATAGAAACATAACCTAATTTAATTAACAAATTGGTCATAGTTCAACATCATTTTATTATTAACATTGTCCTATGTAATTAGCGTTAAGTAGCTTTGGAAAACAAAATGTAAAAAACATGCATTCATGTTTTTTCTCTTCAAAAGGTAATTAAATGAATTGGTTTTCTTCCTAAATCAAACTGATGTAAGCCCTTAGAAAGATCATCAAGAAACACATACCTTTCTCCTTGTTTTCCTCCACTTTTAGGGTTAACAAAAACTAGAAGTGGTTGAGTACCTGAAACTGGTGTGATCTAAATTTAAAGAATTCAAAGAAAAATAATTCAGTTTTCTTCAATATTTTATATTATATTATATTACTAATATAAACATTAGTAATGTTTACTAATTATATTACTAATATAAACACTAAGCTCTCTACACATACAAATTAGACTCCTAGGCAGATATGTGTGTGTGTGTGTGTGTGTGTGTGTGTGTGTGTGTGTGTGTGTGTG